TCCTGCTGAGGGGAGAAGTTCTAAGTAAGTTTTTTTATGAGCTTCACAAAAGTCATAAACCAAAGGGATTTGTAAGCACTGAAACAAATGAATCTTGTTTACCTGCAGGCTTCCCACATGCCCAAGACACAGTGCTGGCAACTCCAGTGTGTCCTTAGCAGTCTTCTTTTCATCTGCAGGCTGGGCAAAAACTAGCACATGCTGCTTCTAGTCCACTGCTAAGCACGTGCTAACCATCTGGCACGTGAGCTGTGACTGGCTTAACTAGTCACTACCTCTTGGTTGCCAAGCTCACCTAACCTGCCTCTTACCTACTTGCAGGCTTGACCAACAACAGCAGGCCTGTGTACAGTCCTCAGGCCATACATTACCCACACCCATTGCCGGAATTTAACATCTCAGAGATCTTTATGCCTTCAATAAATTTGTTTGAACAGGATTCAATAGTTACACGGGAAAGATGGGCTAAATGTAGAGACAAGTACATACATGGAGGCAGATTACAGCAAGGTGTTCTGTCCTTCAGAAACCAGAGTAAGGGCAGCTGATATGGACTTCTCAGGAGTACAGAAGATCAAAGCAACCAAGCTTTCTCCTCTGTCTTTCCTGGGTTTGGTTCTGATCACTATTTTTGTTAAGGATCTGGACTAAAGAGCATACATCCAATCTGCAAATGATCCCAAATCCAGAGGGGCAGAAAACAATTTGAAGGCAAAAGTGTAAAAACAGCAACATTCTGTAATGGGAAATCGGATGTACAGATACCATCAATGCTGAAGAAAGGGGCAAAGCTCATTCTGGGATGAACTCCCAAAAGCAGTGTCTGCAGGGCACGAGAAGAAAATGATGCTGTTCTATTCTCTCCTGCTGACACATCTGCAGAGCCCAGCAAACCCTCATGCAGGTTGGAAAACACGTTCTTGGAGAGATGTAGGCATATGAAACAAAATCTAGAGGAGGGAGAGGTTTGGAAAACACGTCCACTGAGGAAAAGCCCAAAGAACTGAGTTCCTTTTGATTGGAAATCAACTGGAAAAAGGAGCCAATAAAATCTAACAACACGTAAAGTCTGCTTTCAGAGGCGACAGTGAGATCGCCTTCTGTGGCCACTTGGGCAAGGACAAGAAACAACCTCTTTTCAGGTAGGGAGGTTTGGTCAGGCATTACAAGAAGCTTCTGACAGCCAAACATAACTGAGTCTTCAGCACAAAAGCTGTGGAGAGATTTTAACCACAAGTTGAAAATGTGTCTGCCAGGGATTGGCAAGGCATTCCCATAGATAAGCTGAAGGCACAGGTGACCTCTTAGCATGTTTTCCCATCCCCTATCTGCATGTCCTGGACATCCCACTGGACCATTTGCTGCATCCCTAGTTTTAGGTTTTGCTTTGCAGCTCTGTCACATTAGGAGTTCACTGCTGTTCTGCCTTGTGTCAAATGTATGAACAGAAAGAAACAAGGGGCAGCACTAAGCTAAGGGTCTGTAATTCAACTCCGACAGTCAGCAGTTGTCAAAACACTCCAAGAGAACACAAATGGTTTGTGTCTTTCTCCAGGCTGTGAAATAACATCTTAAATTAAAAGCCTACCCCTGGATTTGTTTTACACCTCTGATCTGGCATGGCTGGTTCTTATCACCTATCACCATTTAATCTTGTGTCTTGCCCAAATCTGAAAGAAAAATTACATGGGAACATGGCTTTGATGTCTTGTTAAAACTGAGTTGCAAGACTGCTCTAGGTCTCTAATATACGAGCCTAAGTATTCCCCCAGGAGCTGCAGATACTACCCTGAGGGTTTATGTACCAAAAGTGACTGTGATCTCCAAGGGAGCCTCAGCTGGCCTGAGCAACACATTGTACAGGATGATCACTATACTATTCCCAACTGGACCACGTTCTCCATTCACAGACCACAAGCTGTTGATGCGTTACAAATGCTGTGTGTTTGATAACAGGAAGAGGCGTAGTACGTTCTGGCAGATCACGGCCCCACCTAGCTTCGAGTACAGAAGGAGAGTTGGGACTCCTCTGAAAGGGGTGTGACAACCAAGCATTCGCCATGTTGCCTTCCCCTCATCTCCACAACATGGAACTTCTGACCAAACCCTTACGTCAAGGTACAGAGAGTATTTCCAAATCCTTCAGTGGGCTTCAAGATTTCAGTTCTCACACCACATTACAGAGCAAGCAGGGGCAGCCAACATAAGTCATCTGAGACTTTACAGCTTCTCTGTATACAGGTGATAGGGAATGTACACAGCCTGGCAACTTTCCTCCCAGAGTCCTCTCTACTGCCATTTAACTGCAGACACTTCCATCTCCCACAGGCCCACACAGGGTCTGGTTTCCACTCATTCCTTCACCCATTTCATGTACGGATATTTCCCTGTTGCCAAACTTTTCCAACACAGGAGTCTAGTTTCACGGTGGACTCTTTAACCCTTACTTCAAACTTGGGCTCCGTGGATTTACACTGCTAAAACACACGGGTGATTGTCATGCCTTTGAACTACAACTTCAGACCCTTGTCTTTGAAAGCCATTGGTCAAGATGACTCCACAAGCACAGACGAGGGAAGCCGAATTGTTTTTCAGCACCAAATATTGCTGCTCTTCCAGACTGGTTTCCTCCCTTCTTTGAAAAAAAGGCCAAAAACACACCTAGAAACACACAACACTGCCTCACTCTGTGTCCTCTTCTGTTGTCCCAAGGAGTGCCGCTTCCCCAAATGCACATTTTGAGAACACAAGAACTGCCCCACAGGGTCAGCCCCAGGGTCCATCTAGCCCAGTCTCAGATGGCAGTAGGAGACATTCCTTAGGGATAGCATGCGAGCCCAGGCACTCACTCCGGTCCCTCCTCCTCCAGCTCCTCCAGCTGTTATACAGAGATGACACAGGCACAGCCATGCCCGGGATGTCCATTTACGAATTTGCTGTTTATGAACTTATCCGATGGCCTTTGACCCTGCTGACACCATCTGCTTCCATAGCCCTGTGGCAGCAAGTTTCAGAAGTTAACTAATCACTGCATACGTAAGAACTCCCTCTTATCCGTTTTAAAGTGATCCAGTGCTCATTTCTTCTAGCATTATAAGACCTGGAGAATAAGACCTGCAGTTCACCAAATCCACCACCTTCGTCATTCTGTAAAGCTCAGTTGGCTCCCCTTCAGCATTCTCCTCTCCAAACTGAAGGGCCCCAGCCTCTTCAGTTTCTCCTCATTGAAGCAGCTATGTCATTGCATTGATCATTTTAATTGTCCTGTTCTACATCCTTCATGAGAGGCAGGGACCAGAACTGCACACAGGGGTACACTAGTGTCTTTCTTAGCTGCAAAACGGTATCTTCTGTCTTCTTTTTCTCAAGACCTTTCCTCATAATAACACTAGCACTTTGTGGCTCCTTTGGCTGCACACGGACCTCACAGTTTTGGAGAACTGCCAACAACAACTCCAGGATCCTTTTCCTGAGCCATAACCGCACGTTTCAAATTCAGTATCATGTAGACATTGTTTGGATTATTCTTTCCTAGATGAATTACCTTTAATATCTGCACTGAAGCTCTTCTGGCATCTTTCCAAATGCTTAGTTTTGTTACTGTGGCTCTACCATATTTCAAAGGCAATCAACACTTTGCAAACCTACTGCAGCAGCACATCTGTGGGCCAGAATTTTCTTCTTCTGTAAAAGCTCTGATACTCTTGCAGTAGAGACATGATCAAGCCATTGCTTCCCTTTTCCCCACAGGCCACACAGTTTTGTTTAGCCTTGGCTAGTTACTGAAAGCACCTTCTTATTTCAGAACGATATTTCCTCCACTGGTCTTTAGCAATACATGTGTGGTGGTGTTTGGATCACTCCTCTATAAATAATCCCGTCAGCATTTGACCTTTGGACAACAGAACAACTCAAGGGATGAAGCCCTGAATTGCAGGATTTCCTCCCCCCGCATTCACAAACCTTGTGCCTTCATTGCATACAACACTCCAAAAGGGAAGCAAACAACTTTGGGAGCTAGTGAAATGGCCATGGAATAGGACCACCCTGTGGGAAAAAGGTAAAAAGACCAAGATGCAGGAGGGAGGTGAAGGACAAACAGAGCACGAAGGACCCCGTCAGCATAGTCGGCTTGCTAACATCAGCTCTCTTCCCCAAATTCACAGTGGTACATCTCCAGATCAGAAAGGTGTGCTCTTCAGGCAAACGACCCATGCTGCAGCCCCAAAAACGTGGATCTTCTATGATCAAATCAACTATCTTGAAAACTTGATGAAGTCTTGTCATTATCTGGGAATGGTCTGACTCAAGGCCTCTCCTTCTGAGGCGTACAATGCAATGCAATGTCCTCAACACAGGCTGGGTGTGCTCGCTCCTATCTTGCAATGACACTAGTCTGCTTTTGCAGTGGGTGATGGTGAAAATGGCTCAGTCTTACTGCAACAGCAGAAAATTTGCTCAGGTCAGCAAGAAACAAAGATGCTTCTCACGATCTCTTGTTAGACCGGATCTCTTAGCAAGGGGAAAACAATTTGGGTTGCTATAAACTTAATTTGGTGATGATCTGCTGAACGTGTTACTGGATGATTTATGAGGTCATTCCAGTCCCGAGTCTCTTCCATCCTCTTGCACTAGATCCTATATGGCCTATTCTCAGTGCCATTTTGCACAGAGAATTAGCATCAAAAGTGGGATCTGGTCCTGCATCTCAAAATATGTTCTTCAGCATGAGTGATTCATGTCTCAGACAGCTGGTCTTGGCTTCTGAGCCCTTAGGAAATGTGCTCTACCCCAAACAGCAGACACACAGATACCAGTACTTTTGAGGAGCTGGGAGATTGCCCCAAAGCCATACTTTGAATTTGATTCTCAGCTGTGGTCCTCAGTCCCACGTAGCTCAAGACCTTCTTCCTGATCCAGGCTTCTTCCCCTTGTGTTGGCATCTCTTCCCAACTACCTTGCCTAACCCAGCTTCACTCTGCTCCAACTCCCAAGCCCTGCTCTGGATCTCCTGACACTGACTCCTGATTTGCACTGGGAAGCTCATGGATTCCCCGTGGATGCTGTGTAGCATTCAGAATGTCTCCTTGCTCCATACAGGACCTAGCACTGAAGGGCATAAACAGGAGCTTGTTTCTGGGATGCAGGCTGTAATGCCTGTTGTTTGCCCATCCTCGCTCGGAAGGCCAGGCTGTGTCACTCGATGCTCCTGATGTGCCCTGGCCCTCCCCCTGGGCATTCATCATACAATTACTGGGGCCACCAACATCACAAATCTCAGCTGAAAGGCAGTTTGGGAACCTGGTGCGTACCAACTTACACTCACAGCACAATGTGACCACACAAAGCTGCATTCCCAGTCTCATGCCTTTACAGAAGCACAAAGAGACTGTAAAGGTTCCTAAATAAAAAACACAATATTCTTCCTAAGTACCTTGATATGGGTATGCTTTCCTTAAGAGTTAGGGAAGAAAAAAAAGCACATTCAGGTGACTGAATGAGGTACCACCAACATTATCTTAGTCTTCTGGTTCCTACTGGGCCAGGGCAGATGCAGACCAGCTAAACAAGCGCTCAGACCTGGGGTACCATACCTTTCAGGTGACCAGCCACCTCCACATAAGACCGCAGCACTGCCAGGGACACTGCCTCCCCTGAAATACAGAAGAGACACAGCTTTGAGTTACATATAGGCTACAGATGGCCGCCATCTTGCTCTCTGACAAGGTTACACTTCTACTGTTGTGACTCTCTACATCCTGAAGCACCTCAAGCTTTGTGCAAGAACTTGAGGAAAATTAAAAAAAATTGGACTTTTATGTTTCTATGCAGGAGACAGCAACCAGATGTTCCAGGCTAACGCATGATCACAGAATCACAGCATGGTTGAGTTTGGAAGGGACCTCTGGAGATCAGCTAGTCCAACCTCCCTGCCCAAGCAGGGTCCTCTAGAGCATGTTGACCAGGATCACGTCCAGACACCTTTTGAATATCTCCAGAGAAGGAGACTCCACTACCTCTCTGGGCAACCTGCTCCAGGGCTCTGGCACCCTCACAGGAAAGAGGTTTTTCCTCAGGTTCAGACAGAACTTCCTGTGGTTCAGTTTGTGCCCGTTGCCTCTTGTCCTGTCGCTGGGCACCTGTGAGAAGAGTCTGGCCCCATCCTCTTGACACCCTCCCTTCAGATACTTGT